GAATAGTGAAATCCTATTTTTGCATTCTGAAATTGATAAATGATTAGAAGCCTTGAATTTTGCTAGTTTTTGCTTTGTAACTTGACAACTTTGAATGTGAACTTTTTGATCCAATATTAAAGTGTACAGGAGTTAAAGCAGCATTAATTTGAAATTTGTTGAAAGTGTTAAAACAGATCTTTTGAAATCACATTACACGGAATAGGATTCCTTGGTCACTAAATCCCAATATTAAAATGATGTTTTAGTTCTTAAATACCCTTTATAAATGTTAAATGGTATCTTTATGTGCAATATATTTGTCTTCAGGAATAACCATACTCAAATACTTGTTTTGTGCTAGCTGGAGTATGATTATTCAAATTGGCATTAAAGAAGCTTGTGTGTGTTGATAAATAATATATAGTACATCAACAATGTTGGAATATGGCTCAGAGCATTGATGTTTGCAGATAACCTTGCACTTGGATGATTCATTGTGTTGTGTCTGATAACAGTGAATTCGTATATGTGTCTGTAATTTTGTGGATTTTTATTGGCACAAAAACTGAATTCTACCAATAACCAGTTAGTCACTTTTTAGGGAGATTACTGACAGTTTAAAAATATTGGCTTTTTTGCTCTCTGAGGGTGATAGTTTCAGATGTTGAGGAATCTTTTAAAAGCTTAAAATATGAAATCATGGCTGCAACTTTATTTCTGTCAAATGTATGCCATGACTCTTGTTTGACAATTCCATGAAGCTTGATATTGGCATATCACTTTTTACTGAAGACTGCTGCGTGTATATTGATTATTTGTTCCAGGGATTGTGCTGCAAGCCCTGATTTCTTTCCTGTTATCAAGTACAGTGTCTCATAATTGTACATACATTTAGAATTGATTTGTGGTTATGTTTGCCTGTTTGCCTACAGCAAATGACAATATTATTTTTATCTTGGGCATTTGATTTTTTTGTGTTTATTTATTTATTTATTTATTTATTTATTTATTTATTTATTTATTTATTTTATTTATTTATTTATTTATTATTATTTTTTTTTTTGGAGGGGGGGTATCTAGCTGCTCATGTTCGGATGTTGCATGGAATATATTTCCAAACAGTTTTCACATTGATGCTGTTCATATCTGTTACAGGAGCCCAGTGAGCCGTGTTTGGATGCTCAATTTGTGGATGTTTACAAAGGAACACATGGTGTTATTTTGATGCTGGATATCACAAAGCAATGGTGAACTGCGATTAAAGCCATAAGAATTAATCTTTAAAGCAGTTTGTAATACAGGCAAACATTATAATTTCTTAATATTATGGCATCGGTATCTATGGCATCTCATTTTCAAATGGCAAATTTTTTAACCTTGAACTCACATCAATATTTTCCAACACATTAAAACATTTTTTAAAAAAGTAGAAAGAAGGGTGTGTTTCAGTTTTGTGTAACACCAACCATACAGTTATAGCCCATATTGTGTTATAAGCCCATGAACTTTCAAATAATACATTCTGAAATATTTTAATGTGATCATTATTTTATTGACTTTAAAATATGCTTTAGGACATTTGATTACATTGAGAGAGAGCTGCCCAAAGTTCCCCACACCATTCCAGTGTTAATTATGTCCAACCACAGAGATATGGGCCATCACAGAACAGTGTTGGACGAAAAGATAAAGTACCTCAGCGAGGAAGTTCAGGAAAACAGGTAGGTTAAGTAATAATGAGAGAAATAAATACACTTCTAACAAATTGTTCACAACTGGACAGCGTAATGAGGCAGGGAATAGAAGTGTGTGTGTGTGTGTGTGTGTGTGTGTGTGTGTGTGTGTGAGAGAGAGAGAGAGAGAGAGAGAGAGAGAGAAGAAAGATGGGGGAGATTTCATTTACAATTTGTACAATACAAAATTAAAGTAAACCTTCAAATATTTTATTTTTATCTTTGCAGACCTGACAACTCGGCACCCATTCGGTGTATGGAATCCTCCATGAGAAATGGATTTGGTCTAAAATATGTTCATAAGTTCTTTAATTTGCCCTTCCTGCAGTTACAGGTAATTCCATTTTCTTCATCTCTCTCTCTCTCTTTCTCTCTCACTCTCTCTCTCTCTCTCTCTCTCTCTCTCTTTTTTTTTTTTTTTTTGAAAATAAAAACATTTTCCAATTTTACTTACAATGGAGTTTGTTTCTTAAAACCAGCATTCAGAAAATTTTCAATTTGAATATTACTTAAGTTGTTTGTATTATAATGTGAAAACAAATACAATCACAAAAACAGAATATGTTAATAATTTATTGTAATTGATTTAAACCAATCCTGCAGAAAGAGACGCTACTGAAACAGTTAGAGATCAATGTGCAGGAATTCAGTGCTGTACTGGAAGAGTTAGATATACAGGAAGAGTCTGAAGAACAGAACTACGACATGTGAGTTCCATATACATACCATTTCTTGAAAAGTGAATGGTGTAAATTGTTTATGTCTCAAATTGGAAAAAGGGCAAGGAAAAAGTTAATCTTAAGCATATTTCAAGGAATGTTTTGTATGTTGTCTGTAGAAAAAGTTAACAGAAGCTGTAGCATTTAGAAATGTTTGAATGCAGTGCCGCATACTAGATTTAAGAAGACTCAGATTAATTGATAGCTATAACATTTTATATAGAACATTAAAAAAAAGTTCCTTATAAAGAATATCAAGTATTAAGTTCTTAAGTTTACAGCCAAAGTTTCACACAATCCCTGTTTCTTGCAGGTTTATTGAGGGTGTATCAGAGAAAAGACGAGCCCAGCAGGAAAAACTTGCAGTAAAAGCCATTGAGGAAGCAAAGAAGAAAGAGGAAGCAGAAAAAGCAGCACAGGCAGCTCTGCAGGAACAGGCAGAACAAGCAAAAGGTATGTCAGACACTTAAAAACATTTTTATATTAGGTAATATAAATTGGAGACAGGATTATCAATATCATTTGATAATTTTGGAAGTCACTGTGTTTGTTAATATATTACTTTTATATTTTTGTTTTTGTATGAAAATTTCAATGTTAACACTTTTATTTTCAATCCAGTAAATGTTTTGAAATTTTCAAAAACAAAATTAATTAATATATAATTTTGAATTGAATTATGAATGATTAATATAAGGAAAAACCTGTAACTGTTTAAGATTGATAGATTTCACATATTTCTTATGAGAAAGATACTATGGATGCTCGTATCGGTAGTCGGCATCTCAATCACTAGTACTCGACAAAAATAAATTGTACAACTAATTTAAATAAACAAGTACCAAATTATGCTGATGTTCAACAAAACTCAAATATATTACAGGTAATGTGATGCCAAAGTCAATTTCCCACCCAAATCTCCCAGTGAGTCAGCAAGATAAGCAGACGATGTCTGTCTCCCCATCAGCCAATCAGTTATCAGCATCTCCGCAACCACCTGCACCCTCTCCTCAGGCTCAGGAACAGAAGAGTGGAGGGTTCATGTCCAGGTTCTTTGGCAACAAGGATAAGCAGGACAAACAGGAGAAACAGACAGGTATAAAAAGAACATGATTCACTAAAGTTGATTAAATAAAAAATATGTAAAAACATGTAACCCAGTCATGAACAAATTTGCCAGCTCCCAGACCAAAACAAAGCAGTAGTGAAGGCAGACCAGAGATTTTTAATGAAATTAGCATTAATTGGTCGAAACAGCCAGCCATTCTTCCAAACTCACCCCTCCCATGTGTACATTTTTTAAACAATTGGCATGGTTCCTTGAAATGTAAATCTTACTTTTAATACAAAAGTTGGTCAATTAAATTTTTGGTGAAGGAAAACGGTTATAATACATACATGTTGTACCAGTTATTAAATACCATGGATTATTATTTATACAGTAAACTGCTGCTAAAAGTGAAAGACTAATACCTATTTCAAATGGTCTCTCATTTTAATGTTACAGCTCCTTTTTTTTAAAGATTGCTTAAAGTAAAATATGATAACTGCAAGTGCTATGATATGTATATCACTGTTCTCTTTTGTAAAATTAACGCAATTGTATGATGCATCGCTGTCTTCTGCTGTAATTGATTTCATGATGTATCTTTGTCTTCTGTGGAACATAAGATTGCTACACTCGATATGGTGTATCTTTAGCAGATATAAAATTGCTATGATATATATTATACCTTTTATATTCAATCAGGCTTAGTAATACAGCCCAGTGGTCAACCTCAAGTAGGCAGTGTGGAGGACTTTGTACCAGAGGAAGGTCTTGATGCAGAGTTTCTGGAGGACACCAAGGACTCCAAAGATGTCAAGACTCAAAAGCGAGAGGACAACAGTGACAGGTACTTGGTGACAGGTTGAGGCGGTTGTGTTAAGGGGCGTGTCCCACAGTAGTACAAGTGTTTACTCTAGGTAGCTGTTGATGTTAGATGTGAGTCATAATGGCTTATTGAAAGATATTTTCAAAGGTAAAGGTAGCTGACTCAGAAGGTATTTGAATGCAGTGTGTCAATATGTTTGGAAAAGATTTTTCCTGCCAAGAGTGTTTTTGGTGCAGAAATGAAAGTATATAATCCTTTCAGTTCATTGGGCAGGTACCCTTTGAAGGCTTCCAGATATTTTAACAGTTGAACTCCTGTATTGTATTTGGTTAGATAGTAATCACTGGGGGACTAAATCTGGCAATATAGTTTGTGTTCTGAATTTTTTTTGGGGGGGGGGAGAGGGGGTATAAAGACACTTAAATGAAAAGTCAACAATTCCTTAACTGCATGTTGATACAGTATGGTTTTTGAAATTTTAGTGATGACAGTGGTGGCAATCCCATGGTTGCAGGATTCCAAGATGAACTGGACTCTGAAGATGAAGAACCTCCAAAACCTGCAGCAGACTTCAGAGTGGTTCCTCATGATGAAGAGCCCTCTAGTGAGGATGAAGAAACAACAGGAAGGCAAACACAGGAGTTGGAGACAAAACCACGAACAGCAGAATTATCCAGTGATGATGATGACAATACAAATCAACCAGGGATCATGTTAGATGAGGATTTGGACTCTCCTGATGAAGCGCCATCTAGTTCTGTGCTTATTCCACAACAAGTTGCTCAAAAAGAGGAAAAAACTGAAATGAAGCTTTCTTCACTTAAAGATAAAAAATCTGTTACTAAAGAACAAAAGAGGTCTACGACTAGTAGTGAAAGTGACACCAAATCCACTTCACAGAAAAATAAAGTTAAATCAAAAAAGAAAAAAAGTGCAAAGGATGTAGAACTTACAGACTCCGATGAAGAGCCTCCAGTTCAGACACATGTTGATCAGCCCAGTGTACTTCAGGAGGATGTGGACACTGTTTCTATTGATAGTGAGGAGGAGAGGCTGGCTGCAAATCATGTGGCAATATTGGGTGACTTGGATGTCAGTGAAGGGGACGAGGACTTGCATCCTGTGAAGAAACCTGTGGTTGTGATAGACACTGAGGTATGGTACATGGAGACTGTCATCATGTCACCTTTTATTGAGTCCAATTTCAGGTTTTACTGTAACAAATTTAATGTGATTGGTGTTAGATATCCTATGCACCCAGCTTTTCTGTCATAAGTTGACATCATTTATATGCTAAATTCAACAAAAAGGAGATTTTATTAGAAATATATATATTTTAAAGTATCATTAAATTTAGATTTCAATAAACCATAAAATATTCTGTCCATATTTTATAAAATAATGTTAAAGCAACATTACACAAGCATAACATAGTACATGGTATCTTTTCAGGATAAAAAGGAGGTGCCACCAGTCGAACAACGGTCTTCGCTTTTCTTTGAAGACCTCAGTATACTGGAGAAGGGGTTATCTGCAGGATCAGGTAATATCTGATATCACCTTCGTACTTCTCTCTCAAACTGGTAATGAAAACATGGATAACCTTATAAAATGCTGTTGGAGGCAGCTGTCAAAGACAAAGCATTGGCATTGACTTGGATTTGCCAAATTGAATTTTATTAAATCTGATGAACACCAGTGTCATTTTAAGTTGACAGTGATAAAAAAATAAATATTTCAATGAAATATTTACTGAATCTTCATATATGCAATATGTATTACAGTGTCTAGTAGCCGTCCGGAAACAGAGAATGAAACACCAGATACCACCATTAAAACCAAGAAAAAGAAAAAGAAGAAAGACAAACAGGTATTGCCTTATTGTTTTGGTGAAGTTCTGGGTCCCATAATTATTTATTTATTTTGCAGATTCTCTGAAGTTTGGCAAATAATTTCTTTCTAGGATATTATGTTGTTTTTTGGTTAAATTTTTACATGCACATGCATACTGCATGGTTAGTGATGGTCACTGACTTATATTAAAAAAACAGATTGATTTGATATTTTAATCATTGAATTCTTTTAAGTGGACAATGCCATAATGTGTTTTAGTTACTTTTATCACTCTTTTATGGTGCATGTACAATCCAACTTATAGTTGCAAGAAAAAAATATTATTTTTATTATTAATATTATAATATTATTACCATATCTGAAAGGTGAAATAATTGGCTAACAGATAAGTGCATCTGTGTTCTGTTCATTTACCTTATACATGCTTTATGTGTATATATTTTAATTTTTGAAGGAGGAAGGAAAGCCTAAGAAAACTAAGTCCAAGAAGAGTAAAGCAAAGGATGAGGCTCAGACACCGGAAGAAGAGACTAAAGAGAAGAAGAAGAAAAAGAAGAAGAAAATAGAGAGCGAACCGAACGAAATTGGCGAGACTATGGATGACCTTGAAGCATTTCTTGGTGGAGGAGGAGGTTATGAGTCACTCTGATGAATCAAAATTTGAGAAGTGCACAAAATATGTTTGAAATCTAGCAGACAAAGCTGTAAAACATGGTCCTGTAATTGTGACTCCTAATTTTTTTTAAATAAAAAAAAACTTAATTGATCTTAATTATGGGCTTGTATATTCATGACATCCACATATCCTGGTACAGTTAGGCATTTGTGAAGATGAGTCATTACATATGAAATTTCCAGAATTAAATATGCTGACTAGTGTATATAATTGCTTTATGAAGGTTTCATGTGGACGAATTGTTGGAAATGCTTATCTGTTTTTACGAAAAATTGTTTAATGCGTGTTTAAAAAAGATCTCACAAGGGTAGCAGTTTTATTGGTGTGATACTTTTACACAAATTGGACAGTTTAGAATATTGTGATAGTTAAGCATATGATACAGTATATGTCTCTAGTATATAAACTAGAGAATAGATTATATGTTCATAGATGATGGAGCATAGATACATCATACTCCAAGGAGTAATTGCCATGGAACTCCGTTTATTGTTATATGATATATAAATTATATAATTGTTATAATTGTAACTTAGACAAGGCAAGGTGCTTTTGTCCAGCAAGGTTAGTTTGCCTTTTGTTATCCAACTGCCAATATTAAGATTTATTTATTTTAGGAATTTGCCAGTAACATGCTATCAAGAGCATAACAATAATAATAATAATAATTATTATTATTATTATTATTAAATGCCTGGTTTAGCCTTTTGCCTGTTTAAGCTTGGATGAGATGTAACTTTTCCATGTGCTTAAGTAGGGTTTAATATTTTTCAATCCCAGAAATATTGTCATTTAGTTTCTTAAGACCATATACCATTACACATAGGGTTTTACTATGCAGTTGTTTTGATTAATCTAGATCATTCATTGTATTTGTAACATGACCACTGTCATAATAACAAGCTGTTAGCATTAGACTTGTGGAAGTGTGTATTGTGAATCATGATCTTTGTGCATGTGCATGATCAAAAAAGTCCTACACATTGGGCTAGTTGTAGTAGGGTAATGGGAGTATTTATCCACAGAACTGAAAGTTTTTGAAGTGGGTAGTCCATTTCAGGTCATGTGCTGTAGTGAAGCAATGCAGCTATAGAAAGCTTTACCTCTTAAAATGTCAATGCTCAGATATTATTTAATGTATCTTAAAGCCTCATTAGTTTCAGAGTACTGATGAGGAGACTTAAATTTTCTTTTCAACTACCCAGTTTGATTTTGCTTATCACCCTTAGGCTTCGTTCACATGCAATGTCTATTTTCTAAATTCTATTTTCTATTTGCGGTATGTCTTATGATCACGGTCTGTGGCCTGAATGGCGTAATTACTGGCAGCGCGAGCCAGTTACTATAAGTTACTATAAGTAACTGGCTCGCGCTGCCAGTAATTATGCGGCGGGATATTCAGGGCACAGACTGTGATCATAAGATAGCGCAAATAGAAAATAGAAATTAGAAAATAGACATTGCATGTGAACGAAGCCTTAGATTCAGAGTACTGATGGTTACTCACCACTCGCCCATCCTTTGTTTAGCATTACCTGTTATGTATGCTAATAAAGGGGGTTTCCAGTTAACCCCGAAAATATCAAGGTGGCTATAAGGTTCCTTAGGGTGTTGTACTTTTTTTTTGTGAAAGCACACATATTGTTACTGTTTTTAATTTGCTGCAAAATCCTTGTTGATGGCAAAATTGTAAATGAATAAATACTTTTTTTTTTTAATTTCGGGAAAGAAATTCAGATGGCATTTCTACAGAAAGTTACTGAATATAAACGCTGTATTTTATGTAATATGAAAATGATTTATTAAATGCATTACCAACTAAAAACGTTTTGTAGTGGATATTTCACTGGATCAATAATAAGCATTTTGTCAGAAAAAAGAATCTACTATTGGGTGGTTTAAAAAACCGATAAACTGCAGGAACCTATGGTGTTAAAGGTGGGTCAGATTTTCTCAGTTCGTGGGCAGGGCATTGACGTGTGCATGTCAGTAAACAAAACGTCTGCTTCTCTGTGCATGTCCCAACCTCTTGAAAATAGCAAATTCTACCCACTATGCTTTCTTTATGGCAATTTTCCCTTCAGGAGTTTGTCAGATTTGAAATGACAATCAAGTGAAAGAACTTTAAAAAACCAGCACAAGCCATTCGTTTCACCCCCCCCCCCCCCTCCTCCAAGTCCAGTATTGCTACACTTGTGAAGGGCATCTCAATTTAAGTTACGTACACTCCCATTGCCATTTATAATAAAATTAGATGAAATTTTGATTGTCTAAGTACGGATTTTAAGATTGAATAAAAAAGAAAATATTTTCCACAATTTTTTTTATTATCCATCTTTTTTTATATTTTACAGCAATTCTGTATGAAGTAGCTTTACAGTCAATGACGGTCTTCAATTCATTGTTTTTAAATGATAGAAGCTTGACAGTTTGTTTTTTAGCCCATTTTCTGTGCCAATTCCTTGGCTTTGGCCTTCTCGATTTTAGCCACTCTGGCTTGAGACTTGGCTCCCATGACTCCACCTCCCCAATGGCGACGAATCTGAAAAAAAAAATAAATTTTTTAGAAATACTTCACAAAAAATGGAAACTGCATTGGGAAATGCTTAACTTAATCTGAAATGCCACATTTTGAGAACCACTTTTCTTGTATTCACAAATCAAAAAAGACTTCATCACTTTGAGAGAAAGATAAAATGATTTCATGTGTTAGCTCAGACTTCCAAGGAAGGACTAGGACCATCTTCAACAATCAAAAGATCGTCTCTGGTGGAAACCGCGAATGGTGGCAAAAAGTCTTCATCACAGCCAACACATTTCAAGAATTTTCCAATTAAATCCTTAATTTAGCTTTAATTCTGCACTTGGACATTAAAGAGAGCAGTACAGCACAAGTTTTTAGACTTGTCTGAAGTTTACCAATGCATTGAATTCTTAAACCTACCTCATCGCCTCTCTCATTGAAGTTTGTCTTCACAGCATCAATCAACTTGTTTAGGGCAGATTTGTCCTCTCTGTAACACATATGAATTTTCCATACTCAAAAATACACAAAATATGAATCAAAAATTCTTTTAAATCTGCTTTTAGTTTAGGTCTTTGTTACTTTCCCCTTTATCTATTTTCATCAATCTAAAAAAACACTCAAAGCATTCAACAAATTCAAAACTTGTGTTGGCTCAGACTTCCAAGGAAGGACTAAAACCATCTCTGACAGTCTGAGAGACTGACTGTCTCTGGTGGAAACCGCGAATGATGGCAAGAAGTCTTCATCATCACCAACTGCCTGACACATTAATTTCCTTCACAAATATTTTTTAAATGTCATTTGTTACATATTTTCATCCAATAGTAATTCAACTACTTTGAAAAATAACAGCTCGTATCTTCCACTAATAAGCATCTAATACAAACAACGCAAGAAAAACAGGGGAAGGATAAAATGGAACTTACGGGTTGACCAAAGTCAATGCTAAACATGAACAGGTTTTCCTGTGAACCACACGTCCGAGCCTTGCCTTGCCTTTGACAATGCAGTATGGAACAGCCATCTTGCGACACAATGCTGGGAGGAACAGGACAATCTGGAAGATAATGGTGTAAATTAGTACATTAAGCAACATATATATAGAATAGCTATTCACTGATACCGACATACTGACACTGAAGTGCATTTGCTCAGGGTCTAATCAACTTCATGTTCGTAATCAGGTGAAGAAATTCTTTTCACATCATCGCAAACACAATTTCTTCAAAGCCAACAACATTACAACTGCTTACAACACCACATCTGGCACATTAAAAGTTCAACTCACTTCAATTGGCTCCACATCGTGTGCGATGACCACAAGCTGTGCCTTCTTCTGTTCAATGAGGGTGGTCACTGTGTTCACCCCAGACCTGACCACGGGGGGACGTTTGGTGGGGGTGTCGTCCTTGCCCTTCACTCTCTCCTCAGCTCTAGCCTGCAGACGCTGCTTTCTCTGCTGCTTGGTCTCTGGCCTGTACTTGTCCATCAGCCTGAACAGCTGTGTGGCTGCAATATAAATACAAATGTTGGGGATAAGTAATGTTTTGGTTGTCAAATGAGACTGGACTAGAACAATGTGCACAAAATATGGTCTCCTTAATGAGAGTTCATGGGGGGGCAGGGAGTACAGTGAGAAGTGTGGAACAAAATTTTTCAAGTTTAAAATGAAGAAACTGCAAAGGTCACAAAACTGCTTCTCATCGTCTCACGATAAAACTTGCCCAATCTTAAATATATCAATACTTTAATTCAGATTTTAAGTTCTATTACATACATTTGACTTTTAAATTAATCAAACTGTCTGTGCTCAGAGATCTAGGTGGTAGATTTTTTGACATCAGAATCATCAGATAGCAAATATCAGCTGTAATCACTGCACAGAGAGCCGACTACTTTATAGCACATCACTTAGTAAAGAGAGAACAGGTTCACCATCTCCAAAGTGGATTACTACAAATTCATTTTGGCCTGAAGCAGAATAAATTCTGAGGCTAATTCTTAAAAATATGTTAACCCTGACTGGGGTAGCGCTGGCAATTTTTTTCACTTAGCCAAATCACCACTTTTTTTGTCAAATTGTTATCCAAACAAGTCAAATCAAGCCCTTTTTATTTAGCTAATTTATGTCACTTTTAGCATTTGGCTAAATTGGCGAGTGTTAGCGCTACCCCAACAGGCTGAGAATCTGACCAATTTTAAATCAAGATTTTGATCTAGCCTCCAACATTATCTCAGAGTAGTGCATGTGCATAAAGTGACAATTAGCCACAAACATCAGCCATTTTTTCTTATGAAACCAGTGCAATATTTCGTTTAATTGAACTATCACCGTTTTATTCAATCAAAGTAGACAAAAATTCTGGTCTAAACTATTTTCAGACATAAGTTCTTTTCTCAAACAGCCCACACATCATGGCAATCCAATACTGAATAAAAAAACAGACAGATATGGCTTTGCACAATTAATAAGCAACTGGCTAATGCTTACAGTATTTTTTAATTCACAACCAAGGCTTTCCCCAGACAGCCATGCAGCTGTCATGTGGATGGCCACTGGCCTCCAAAGATGGCTGGATGAGTTAATAATTTTTGGGGGAAATGACGAATTGGTTGGTTGGGATTGCTTGGGTTGGACTTTCTGTAAATCGATGCCCAAATTACAGATTCATAATTTGAACATGCACCATGTACCCCAAATAATGGGGAAGCCCCTGTTCACAGTCAACCATACCTGTCTGCCTGTCCAAGGCCTGTTTAAACTGGTTGATGGAAGGAGGGACCTTCAGTCTCTGCTGGAGGATGGCCTTCTGTCTCTGGAGACGGATGTATTTTGGCCATCTTACAAAGCGACTCAGGTCACGTTTAGGCTGGATGTCTTGACCTAGGGAGGGAAGAATGATGATGTTACTTGATATCTACTGAAATGTGCTAGTGTTAAAAATGGCAGCAACAAGATGGGTTTCAGTCATAATGCTGTGCTCAGAGATCTAGGTGGTAGATTTTTTAACATCATGCTGTTCAGATAGCAAATATTTCTTTTCCTCATAGCACTGGCACTAATTTTATACTCAAATACATTGTTGAAATAAAACCTTATATCACACATTTGTGTGTCAATCAAATTATTCTTTAAGTTGTAATCTCTGGCTATAGTTAATCACAACCAACCATTTAACTACTATAGTTGTCATTGTCAAGAGCAAAGCTGTTGGCAACCATATTTTTTGGAAAGGATAATATCCATTTAACCTTGCTTGCTGCTATTTCTAACTACTCACTGTCTCTTAGGGGATAAAATATAGCTAGTAGTGAGATGTATGAAAACCTAACGCTGCAATTTAAAGCTGTGCTCCGTTACCTATTCCGAAGTTCTTGGCCCTCTTCTCAAAAAGTGGGTTGACCACCTTTTTGGGCTCGGTCTTCTTTGCCACTAAGGGGGCAGCGGCTACCTTCTTCTTGCCCTTCTTCGGTTTCGGCTAAAATCATTAAAGGGTTTACAATGAAGCTCGCTATCTGCGTGAAGTCGGGGACACATGCACAAAGTGTTCGATTTTCAGTATTCAGCAACAAACGGGAACAATATGAACTCAATAATAAACAACACATTCTATTATAAATATTTTCTTGTGCGATCTAGCGATGGATTTATGTTTTTCGGGGAGATTTCAATGGATTTACACATGTTATATTTTTGAGATTGCACCCACCATCTTGTTAGCCTGAAAGAGGAAGTTGAGGGCATTGTGGGTAGGTAGGTGCTTCCTGTAAAGTGCCGTGGAACATTCAGCCGGGGAAATGATATTCGGTAAGATATAGACAGTTATCTGTACAAAACTCGAAAAAAGTTCATACATCTCTTAACTATATGATTTGTGTACCTTGCATAAAGATCGTTTGTTTTCCGTGGCTTAGATTAAAATATTTCCTTTGTAGTAAGTCAGGACATTTAAGTCGGTGACGGTGACATTGATTTGCAAGTGTTGCTTCTTTGATTGTTACTGATATGTACATGTAGTCACTGTATAACCTGTTTGAAGAGGCTGTATGGTAAATGATTCATTCAATTAACATATATTCTTTCAGAATCACGGACATTTGGTAACAACTTATTGTAATAAGTCTAGCCATGTCACAAAACCAGCAGCAGAGAGCTCTACCCCAGAGCAAGGAAGCCTTGCTGAAGTCTTACCAGAAGAGGTTAAAAGATGACATTAAATCAATGGTGGAAAACTTTATGGAAATGATAAAGAGTGCAAGGGTAAGGCCTCATATAGGTCAAAAGAAGCCTGATGCTTAACTAAATTAAAAAAAAAATTGCATAAGGGTCTATGCATGGACAGTACACAAAATCTTAGCACATTATAAGGCACTGGCCTCTTTTGCAATGAATCTGTAATACTTATTTGTGCCTACAAGGATGTTCATAATTGCTTGATGACCTTAATGAAATGTCATCACTCTTGATGCTTTTTACCCTAAGTCCACTAGTTAACACCGAAAAAGTTTTAATTTCACCACAATGCAAATTGCAAATTATATGTTTGAACACGCACGAAGCTGATGAACCTTTAGAGACTTCATAAAATACATACGGTCATTGTAATATATGCTTGAGGTAATGTACATTATACCTTTCAGGTCATAATCAGTGTAAAATGCTCTCTTACTGAAATGAATATATGTAAATGAACAAATTGGTGAAAATAATACCAAACTTCTTTATACAATCCAGATAGAGGAAACCAACCAGATATCAAGACCTACCCAAGCAGAGCAGGACCAGTATGAGATGCAAGTGAGGGCAGCTAATATTGTAAGTCCAGATGAAAAGGTCTATGAATGATAAAGATATAACTTCAAAATCGATGGGTGGAAAAAATTACGTAGCATTTCCACTGCCACTGTAATCTTGTTCGCACAATATATTGAATAATAAAACAATTATCAAATGAAATATTTGCATAATCTTAGTATTGCATTTATATTGACTGCATTCTGAATTAATGTACAATCTGCACTTAAATCATTTATGTACAACTATGTACCTATCTTTCTTTCAGGTACGTGCTGGGGAATCTCTCATGAAGCTCGTCTCTGACATAAAGCAGTTTCTCATCCTGAACGACTTTACCTCTGTGAATGAAGCAATTACCAAGAACTCTCAAGTGTACAAACAGGCTCAGACTGAATGTGACAATAAACTGTTGCTCCTCAGGGATGACATGGCAGCTGATTTGTATGAATTAGAAGAGGAATATTATTCTTCACCTTACAAATGATGCCAACTTTTGTGACTGCCATTAAAAAATTGCAGAAAATCTCGGTGGAATATTTCTTATGGGTTGAAAGATGTTTAACATATTTTCTATGAATGCTGCTTCAACCTTATGGCTTCAACATGCCATGTTTTTAACAGTTGAATTGGATCAGCTTTGGTGTGCAATCTGTTTGTTTCCGCACAGTGTGGTGCCCTTAAACAAGATCCAGAAGACAGTATACCTTTAGTAAGGTCTATTCTTATCCAGCTAAAGACATTTAAAGATGTTATACTGTACACAGTATTGAACAATGTTTTCCATCTTTGTTGCACATCTACAGGGGATTCTACCTCGCTAAGTCTCTGAATCACGAAAGTGATTTAACCATGGTGATATGAGTAATGTCTTGGGCACACAATTAAGGAGAGAGTTCTTCAATTTGCAACAACACCTTATCATGCAATTTTTTATAATGATAAGATCTGTTTGCATAAAACGTTGGACGCTAACTGTAATAATAAATTGAATTTACAGATACAAAATGCTTTAATGAGGTCATAAAAATATCAAAAAGTGAAGAAAAGAAATAAAATTCAATATGATAAAAGTTATAAATGTAAGGAAATTATGAAATCAACTTACTTTAACGTATCCTATCCAGAAAGTTAACACACAAATCAAATTTCCTGTCTAAAAATGTGCAGTTTTCACCTACTAGTACTCTGGAATTGTTGCTCTCCCCTTCTTCACTTGGATGCGATATTTTATATCATTTCTAATATTTTGATAATTTGGTTCTAAATAACTAGCCAGCCAGTTAGACCGCCTTGCCTTCCTGTAAACTTTCCACAAGGAAATATCAAGGGCAGTTTTTGGGAGGGGGGGGGCTTTATAGTTCGAATTGAGAAGGAGAAGTAATTTTGCAGGGTATACAGACATGGAAACATTATGGTACAATTTCCAATACGTATGCCAAAGCCTTTAGGACTTTCACAGTTCTTTGTTATGGTAGTTTGGGATATTGGTAACTCTGCAGGGAATACATTTCGATAAAAGGTGGGAGATATCCTAGTGAGGCATATTTCATATATTGGACATTTCTGTGTTTCACCAGGCAGGGTTATTTAGAAAGTTTGGACTGACATGCTTATTTCAACTTAAAAATTTTATTCGCAAATTAAACGTGTGAATAACTGGATGTTCGGGCCCGGCGAATATGTCAGAAATCGGTGATGGCATACGGGTAACATTATTACTGCATGAGTTAACTTGAAAAAACCAAGGTGGCTGTGCAATGGAAGGAAGCTATCCAAGAAGTTGTTAGCGTCACGCTGTTTTTCGACTGTTTTTTGACTGGGGTTGTAGTGATCTTGATCGCGGGTTAGGAAAAACGAACAGTTTTTTTTCACCCAAAGGTTACCTTGACTGTTTCATTGATTGAGGTGTAAGTAGAAGTTAGACATTAAAATGTTAGTTCATTTGGAAGTTGATTTCAGGAATGTAAACCTTTCATTTTCAGCAAAACAGTTTGGTGTTTTATTTTATAAATTTTAGAAATGGATATTAAAGGACAAATTATACTGATTTTGATTTGTGGACAAAAATAATAATAGCCTTATTGACAACATGATTTGACAATATCTACGATTAACTTTCACTGCCGTGATACACTGCCCTCAACCAGTTCGCCCCCCCCCCCTCCCCTCCCCGAGATATTCACAGGTATGTCTCTGGCTAATTGCATGCACTTTTCTCTACTGAGAGACAATTTATGCATGGTATTTATTTCACCCCTCAGCTGGCCTCTTGTATAGAGAAATGGAAATATATATGATATGAGAGTGTGTGGGTCTGTCATTATGCTATCTTGTTCTCCCATCATCTGGAGATTTGAATAAGAGGTAGTGTTTTGGGCATGTAAATGGAAGGAATCCAGAACAATATACATATGAAATTAAACACGCCATTTAGACGCGAGTAGCAATATGTTAAGTTTGTAAAGTGGACTGTGCTCGGCGGGCAGAGTCGAAATTTTGTGACGGCTTCCACAAGGACGCTATAACCACGAAAGCACAGTTCGGGCACTCGTACCTCTACAGTTACCCACAGTAACGCGGATTGTAAGAGAATTACTCCAAAGCATGTCTCACTCATAGTAATATTATTTTACATGCGCTGCGATGCATAACACACCAAATAGAGGAGAAAAAGGATGTCTGCTGTGTGACCATTTTATGTCATTGTCGATTTATTTATTATAGAGACATTTTCAAATAGTAAAATGCCAGTAAACATACGTAAGATTTGAAACATGAATTGTACCTTCCGAAAGTCTAGTGAAAACCGACAGGGAAAATTAAAAATATTATAATAGCAAAAATATCAGCCTTTTAAAATTGAATGCAGAGTTCATGGCAGTCGCAAATCAGACTGATTTCCGACTTATGACATTTTGTGTGACAAGCCTCAAAGTTGGCCCTAAAGACCATAATATATCAAAGTAAATATATAGCAACTATCGATAAGAAACACGAGTAATATGAGCCATTTCTTACCTTGCATGAAGCAAGCCAATATCCTCATTTTAAGAGGACTACTTCTACTTATACCACTACCACAGATTTTGCCGAAGTGGACAAAACGTTAAGATCGACTTAAGTTAGTCTTAAACTTGAGATCAACTTAAGACTTTTAGATTATTTTGACTTCTAATTTTTTGTGATGCCAGTCTCACTGCATCTCGGCGTCACCTGTCTTCGGTGTCTTCGACCCCCCCCCCCCCCCTACATGTACCTCCCCCCCCTACATGTACCTCCCCCCCCCCCATTTCCACTTGATAAAAAACTATTAGGCCAAGGTCAGAAAATTGTAACCTCAGCATAGCGTGCCGTCATCCATATCTTAGTACTTCAACTGATATTTCAAGATTACGCACTATACATATATAATTTACGCAAATGTGAGATTTTGCGGTTTGAATGGATGGCAACCCATAGTGGAGCAACCCTACAAATACAAGACCAGGTTCGTTTTTCCCAAAAATAATTTATTTTTAATTTCATCAATTTTAGTGTCATCTCAACCCATGTTTTTTAAACAACGTAGAGACAGTTGACAGGAATGGCATTGGTGCAATGCTGTAAAAGTTTATTCTGAATAATCTGAAAGACAGACCTACGTCTAACAAAACAAAGAAAAATTACTCTGGAAGTCGCAATCAGATACTGAGATATGTCTTATTAGACCGTGTTCGGTTTATCATTTAATAATAATAATAATAAGAAGAAGAACAATATTCATTCTTGCAACAAAAAGTTTAATTTTACATGTAATGTACAAAAGAGTGATACAAGTACTAAAACACATTATGACATTACAACATAAAATAATTTACTAATTATAATATTAAATCAGAGCTGTTTCTTTAAAATCGTTCTATAGCATAAAAAATTCAATCAATATCAAAATAATAAATCAATCAAAATGGTTCAACAACATAATATGGTTCAATTATCAATATATAAGATCAATCAGTTTCTTTGAAATGGTTGAAATTTTGTACATTAAAATTTCTGAGGCCCATGAGATTTGCAGATCTAATCATTCTAAGAAATAAAAGTTCTGAGAGTGTCTCAGAGAATGCAAATAATTTTTAACTTTTGGTAATAAGTGGTACAGTCTATGCTCTTCCATAAACATTTTTTAAATGGCATAACTTTGCGCGCAGTAGCACTATTCAGGGTGATGACTAAGTGCCCGGGTCAAATGGGAATTAAAGGACACGGTTTAAGACCGTGACACAGTTAGGGAAAGCTAAACGCGTTGTATAAAGCTATTTATTTAAGAGCCGAACTGCACCAACGGCATTGTTGTCTACTTTCACTACATTCTGCGGTGTTCGGGGAGCTGGAAGTGCGCATGCACTGCGACAACGCTGTATTGATTTACGTGTTGAAAAGAACTGGGACAACCGATTTGGTGTGGCAAGACACAAGATCCAGTCGCAGGTAAGGTGACGTTCTTTCGGTCTATTAGGTTTTTTTGACATGGGCATTCTTTGTAAATAGCATGCTATTTGTATTTTGCGATGTAAAAGGGGCACCAATAATCAGCTCTTGGAATTCAGAAATCACCTTTCAACAAGCAAAGGCCTTGCATCTAAGTCATTGCACAACTTATTAACGCCAACTTAAACCGTTACGAAAAGACAAATAAATTTAGAATAATTCCACTCTAGTATGGTATTTGTTTTTACGCATATGAAGAACAAATACAGATGGCGGTTAGTGTTCGGCGTAACTTGAATTTTTACATGTCTGTATGTAGCGCGCTTATCATAATATATATACTTGTCGCGGGAAGGTTCTGTTGACTTGATCCCCCTCTCCCCCCTCTCCAAATGACCTAATTTACGGATCGGATAATCTGGATAATAGTAATAGCTGTTAAGTCCAGGTATTCGGTATTCGGCATTCAGTCTACCTAAGCACATTGATTATTCCACACAGGTCTACTTCCCACGAAGAAGATGACCATGGTACCGCTGCATCTAGCAATAGTATGCTTCCTAGTTAGCACAGGTGAGTACATTTGGTATCGACTTTTTACTCACACGCATGGATATATTGACTTGTTTAGCCATTTCACATGTCGCACGCTATTCTTTTGCAGAGCTCCACAATCTCTGCAATAAACTTTATCGAATCTTGCAAAAGGAATGGATAAGCTACGTTTATGCGACCGCTAGTACAATAAAGTTATAGCTGGATATCACACTGGGATTCTGCAAATTGCGCAGAATAATATACATGCATAGGTTGTGAGGTTAACTAAAGTTATCAACGCTAATAGTATTACCTACAGACACCGGTTTTATATTGAGCGAGAACGGTACATGTGAGAAATAAAGCACTTCAGGGTGTGGTCGGGCGGGATGCTTTCGGACCTAGAAATAATTCTCTATGCACTCTCGACATCTCGATTAAAGTCCCCAACACGTTATAACCACCTCCGTGCTCTGAGATCAGATCGTTGTTTAACGCACTACTGCTGCTCATCCTACCTTACGCTTGATAGCTGAGAGCCTGGACCTGATACAAATAATAAATCATGGGTATTGTCGATACGCACAGAAAACGATTGGCGTGTACAAAGAGTAGGTGTTATGCACTGAAGAGCACATGAATAAAATTGACTGACTTGACTGGGGAATAAATAAACCGTTCTTTAAATATTCTTCCGGGCCAAGCTAAAGTAATGCAGTCATTGTAAATTTACTGAAAGATAAAGAAAGCAAATAGCTCATGAGGACAAACAATTTCAGGGCATGTGTGAGTAGCCGTATATCGTATTAGAGGCAGTGGATTTTACACTGTGGCAGAAAATAAAATTATGAAATTTGAAATTATGAAACTCTTACTTTGTGAAATTGATAAATTACTCATTCGTGTATTACGAAATATGGCATGGGTCTTATTTATTCTACTTTAATTTTATCATATTTTACAATTGATTGCCTCAGAAAGCTTTTCTCCGTGTTCTTTCCTCACTACAGAGCTAACATTTTTTCTTTAATTTGTATTTTCCCATAAAATGGTATAATTCTTCTATTTGAATATTTATCAGACAGTTCCATAACCTTAAAATACTTGGCCTTTTACCATACCTGATATACCGCAAAGACCAAACTTAGGGTGAAGCAAAGAGGCGCTAACTAATACCGTTAAGTATCACACATAACCTTTAGTGTTCCCCATTGTCAGGTAATCCCCAAACTTCTGATCCATGTGCTAGTATTGAAACTATACATTAGTAACAAGGAAATGTAAATAAGTATGAAATCCAAACTGGTGTCACCAGATGAAAAGTTCACCGGAAGACTATGTTATAACGCAACAGTCGTTAAATAACGTTGATTTACCGTCACCTGAGGGTTTTGCAATAATAATAATGTTAATAAATAAATAAATAAAAATACAAAAATACAATCGTGGCATCACCAAGTATCATTTTGCAGATCTTCTCATGATGGAAGGGTTGACAACAGAGTTTGGAATGCTATGATAAAGTCCATATATATCCTGTAGATATGCTATCCTGGGTATTTTTTTTGTCTTATTATCTCCTCACAGGTCCAGCAACAGCAATTCTTCATAACGTAACAGAGCAGGCGGTAATGAAGCATATCTTTGAGGACCAAGCATACGACAAAAATATCCGCTATCATAACAATACGGTTACTAATGTTACCATTGGACTGAGTCAGATATCTATTGACAATGTAGTAAGTGATCTTGTTTTTTTAACTTTATTTATTTATTTGTATCGCTCTCCGATATGTTGAAAGGTTTGCACGTGTTGGCCCATTTGCCCAAAGAACATGACTGCATTCGGTACAGTTTCACATTTTATTTATATTTATATCTTCACTTATTTTTTCTACTATAAAATCACACCATTTTGTTATAAGCAGAAATCAGAAATGTCTATCCATTTTATATTCAGGCATGACGATGATGTGATGTGCTTGCCAACAATTTTTGTATTCATCTTTGCACAGGAAGCCTAGAATAAAACAGAAAAAAATTGTATGTAGGTTGTAAGAAGGCATATATTGCGTCTTGCTATAGCGTGCTTTTGACTTAGGTTTTATGCAGTTTACTATATGTATATAGAAAAGTAATTCAAATCTGAAACCTGAGTCTATGTTAATGATGTACAATATGCGTGTGCACGTGTTTGCATATTATTTTTTCGATTGCAGGATATTGTTGGAGGGAAGATAACTATCCGCGCTTTTCTTCAGCTGGTAAGTCGCTTTCGAATAAAAAAGAATACTCAACTAGAAAAGCACTCCGAGAGCGCAGACCTCCGCCAAGGCAGCGATTTTTGATTATTATTGATTTTTTATCCGGATCACCACCAAAAACTAATTATCTCTTCCTTATGTTGATGACAAACGAACAGACAAACAGGGGTGAAAACATAACCTCCTTGGCGGAGGTAACAACGGTTTCCCTACTTCTTCATGTATCTTTTCCCCATACGATTCTTAATTAGACCTTTAAAAACATGGTCTGTCAAGGACAACTAAATTGGGAATTGTAGTTTCTCTAATTACCCGCGCCTGTAATACCGATTATCAGGTCCACGCGCATCGGACATAATTTTATTTTAGAATAGGCCATTCCTTACCTATGCACATTAAACACGCCAGTTCTTTTTAAACATGTAATGGTCCGCAATATCAGACAAACATAATGACTGCCCAAGAGACCGCTTCGAATTTTCACGAAGAAACTATCAACAGATGCGTGAATATTCGTACAACTATACCATGGTACGATTACGCCATGCAAACAAATGACTGACGATTAGTAATTTTATTGATAACTGTTATATGGAAATCTCTGTTGTCACCTTTTGCAGGGGTGGAAAGACGAACGCTTGGCTTGGAGTCCTGCTGAATACCAGGGTTTGTCCAAGATAACGCTAGATAAAGACCAAGTATGGATGCCAGATATTTCTGTGTACAAGTAAGATCTACATTTACTTTAGATATTGTTTTGTTGTTTTAAATCGTTTTAAAGTCATCTGTCACGGCCAGTTACAGCATATTACTCCGCCGGACCACATGGTGCTCCTTCCAACCTTACATGGTGCTCATTGACCGAATTTCCTTATTTCAGTCACGTTGCTGGTGAGTCAGATGCCGAAGATGGACCCTCCTTGTCTATTTTGAAAATATTAGCCTATGCTGATGGGAGTGTTTTGTACATTCCCTCTCACTCTTATACTGTATACTGCGACCTGGATCCCAGCAAATCAGCAACCTACTCGAATCGTAATTGCGAAATTAAGTTTGGATCCTGGGCTCACGACGGGTTTCAGGTAAGTTCATGACGGGGTTAAAGCGGGTTCACGACGGGTTTTAGGTAGGTTAATGACGGGGTTAAAGTGGGTTCACGACGGGTTTCAGGTAAGTTCATGATGGGATTAAAGCGGGTTCACGACGGGTTTTAGGTGGGTTAATGACGGGGTTAAAGTTGGTCCTCGAAAGGTTTCATATTATACCTCAAGAAACCTAAAGAATGCATGTACGCAAGAGATTATGGGGCTGTCCTTAAATATTCTATTTTTGGTATCTGTTATGGATTCTATCTGGAGATGTATCGATATAATAATACTATGAGTAGTGTTTAATTGCTATTCAAGCCGAACGTAGGTCTGATTTTTGCCGCCTTACACCCACAAAGGGGAAGTGGGATGGTGATTTTGTTCAAGCGAAGCTTCGGAATCCTTCAATCACACGTGCTGCACAACACGTGAAACTAATAGAATTCTTGTAATTTGTAATGACCATTAAGCCCAACAAAGGGGAAAGCTGCCGTTTTTTATCTTTGTACTTTTTGTCAGCTATCAAAACGAAGCATTGCACTGCAAAAGATAAAATTTATGGCAATATACATGTACGAGGTTTAAGGTTTAAGCATATCCGAAAATATAAGATTAGCCTGAGATTATATAAATTTCGGTTCGAATTGGACAAAAAATGAAATATTTAGATTTAAGCTTTCTGACGTAATGCTTAAAGCTTTGGCCCATTTCCCAAGGTGAGATGGGAAATTCTAATTGTGCTGTTAAATTTGCATTGAAGCTCTTGCACAGAATACCAGGAAATGTTCCCTAAATGTCTTTTTATCAATAGAGTAACTTATACGTTTTTGCTTTAAGCAAATATTTATTGCAAATTACCTTTTATACCCTTCACTTAGAATGCCTCATCCTTTTGACATGTTTTCCCTTGCTCGTGGTGCATACACGGTAGGCGAATATGCCTCTCTGATCTACAATGTAGTTAACTAGATGTTTTCTGAATTGTAGATCAACGTTCTGGTCAGTCCATATTCGAATTCCATGACTGACCTAGTGCAGAACAAGGTGTGGGAAGTTATATCTGTAAAACCAAGGAGAGAAAATAAGTTTTACGCATGCTGCCCTGAGCCCTACCCGAATATCATTTTCAACATTGAATTTCGATTGAGAATGGGTAAGTTGGTACTCTTTGTTTTTTCCTCACTAGATATCAGATGGAGTAGAACTGTCAAATCCAATCGACTCCTGAAGGGTTAAAACCCTTTGGGATGATAACCATATTAGTCATATTAGTATATTAGTCGATGAGAAATGTTGACCGCGTTTATTTGAATTTAACTTTTTTACAGTGGTATAATGTACATATTGAGAAAGTGTTTTCTACTAATTAAGCGTTGATCAGTTGATCTACACAACTATACTGGTTGAGCTTCATATTCTACCAGATCTTTTAAGATCTGAAATTTTTGAAATTTAAAAATTTCATTTATGTAATATAAGGATTCCGTTATATTACATTAGTGCCCATTCCAGTGCACCTAACAGTTACACTGTATGTATGCCAATTTATACTAACAAATACTTATCGACGATAAAATTATAAAATTTTGCTTAAAACTTTTTTTTTTTTGTCATTCAGTTACATTTCATTTCAGATAAACGTCTGGGTGTAGAAGTTTCAAATGAGCGTAGATTATATCATTACTTGGTGGATGATTACGTTCCTGATGTAATGCCCGTGCCAAAAGTAAGAAGGAACACGTCGTACGATTACAATGACCCTATGGTTACGGTGGGAATGTACGTAGGAGTCCTTCGAGTTACTGATGTTGTGAGTATGCAAGATTATAAGTAAATTAAAAGTAAAAAAATGAAATATTGGCGGCCAATATTTGGTGAATATAGAAAGCGTTAATCTATGGCCACTTAGGATGCTCTTTTTTTAATTAAAGGCTAAATATCAATTTCGCAATTTCAAACATTTTAAAGGTTATGAACGACTTCATGATATCAATTTTGGCTTTTGGTTTTTGGATCTCTTTTGATAATGCTAATTATACGTTCGTGGGTTGTCGTGATGATGTTCTCTCCGGCGTTTTATCTGCGTGTGTATTCTTTACTGTTGCCGATCAATAGTAAATGCTAAGAAAAAAAATGCATTTCAACTTTCATGAAGTTACTTTCAATTTGTCTTTTTTTTTTTTTTTTTCAATTGAGCATTTGGAACTATTTTTATCGGTCTTATGTTTCTTTCATTTTTGCAGGATTTTAAAACTCACACCATGGTCTCCACTTTCCTCATGCTGAAGGTACCTTAGTTCTGCTCTCAGATGAAAAATCAGAACTGACAACATAAAGTTCATTCTTTCGGTAGCATTTAGTATTTCGCGGTACAGTTGAAAAAGGAATCTTTGAAACGGCTAGATATGTTTTGCATAAACTTAAAACGGGTAGACTTTTATTCAATATTTTCAACTGTGTTACATTTTGCGTAATAACGATCAAAATTCTCTTTTATTTATATCTGTATTTCTAATCATTTTTAAGCGTTGGGTGGATGAGGAGCTTGCATGGGACCCTGCTCATTTTGGAGGGATTAATAAGACTGAAGTTCCCAGTGATAGGGTTTGGAAACCAGCATTTTTGATAGCCAATAGGTACTCACTTTCATAAAATTGAAATATTTTTGTATTATTGTAGCTTAAGTGACTACGATGAAGATATTCGCCTTCGAAACTCTGATGCAGCTTTGAGACTATTGCAGCTTTGTTTCAGTTAACATATTAAAGTTAAAGGAAGTGAACACATTTCGATTGGATTTTTTTCGTGCTGAAAAGACTTAGGAAATATTTGGTTGCAGAAATTGTTCCAACTCTCCTTATAGTAATACCGCTATAATATATATATATATATATATATATATATATATATCACTATACCGTACACACTGCCCCGACTTGATATCATCTGACAAATCCAGTTATCATGAAAATAACATTTTATCAATATAAAATTAGGTGTAATTAAGACGTTATTCAAGTTTGCTTGCTTTAAAAGGTTTTGCATTTCTTGGTTTCGTCATTACACTCAGCTTTTTTTTTATCATTCTAGAGCTGAAGAATGGTACGATATGAATAACGAAATGCACGTGCAGTCGAATGGCCAGGTCCGATGGGGAATCAGCTACACGATGAGGACATTCTGCACGTTGGACGTGTACCGTTTCCCGTATGATAGTCATACATGTTATCTGTGGATTATGTCCTACAGACAAGATGCTTCAAAGGTAGGCTAGCAATACTAACTAGAACTTTTTTTTCCATTTTCAGATATGCTAACTTTTTTGTCTAGAAAAATGTTTATATGGCCGGCTACTATAATCTTGGTTGAAAAGGAAACTTTGGTATTTCATTTATGGCCTATACTGATTCTTGGGGAAGGTGCTTACTATTCAGAACAAAGTAAGCTAAGGTGACAGGGAGAATTTTTCTTACCCCCACCCCCACCGCCTACATACTAAGTTTATGACTAATGTGGTCGGACATTCATTTGCCATAGACCCAATTTTCCATAGCTACAGCATTGTTCCTTGTGCAAGACGACAATATCTATCTACAATAAGAACCCAGCTGGAAAAAGCAAAACTACTGATGCATTTCTCTTTTACATCTGCATTGGCAAGTGTTTCCTATTTAGAGAGAGATTTTTGACGAATCTACTTAGTATCTCTTTCAAATTCCGAGTAGTAATCGACCAAAACTTCGTGAAGGCCCACATTCATAATTTTCCTAAAATATTCCATTTAAATACTACATATTCTGTGAACGGTTAAACACATTCCTTACACTTGACTTCACGTAAAATGAAATTTTGAATAAGTACTTATAAATTCATAAATGATTACATGTTCTCTTAAGGTTAAGGGCGGGAGACATATACTCCGGGACAGAATGTAGTTTGCTTGCATTATAAAACAAGTCAATTTCTAAGTTGAATATGTATTTGTTAACAGCTCGGAATCAAGATATTAGGTGCATGGGGCGGTGGCAGGTCCCAGTTTCTTCAGGAAAGCCTAGAATGGAACATAGACAGTGTCGAAGGAACGCAAGAAAATTGGCAACTACCGGGTGATGAGAAATATCCTGCAGCACAGATTGTCATCAAGATAAGCAGAAGGTCCACTTACTACACGCACGTCTTCACTGCACCCTGTGTGCTTCTCGCTTTCCTGACTCCGGTGGTGTTCCTGCTGCCCACTAGTGCTCCAGAGAAAGTGACTTTGGGTTAGTAAATTTTTGACGGACAAAGATTGCCTTGTTTAGTTTTTAGATGTTGCTGAAAATATGCTAGTATTCTCTGGTGCCATTCTTCTACCAAGTTGTAAACTGAAACTATTCTATTCATAGACCCAAAAGTTTTTGGGACCTTTTTGTCAAAATTCAACTAGAAAGTTATTCTGTACGTGCATTTCTACTTTTTTAATATTTCTCAAATGTAGCCGTTTCCGGGGATAGTATATTCATTACTTTTAAGGAAAAATCTCGGTTTGCGTCTCTGACGTGTAACTTTAAAGCTGGGTATGAAGTCGGGCGTAAAGTGAAAATTGAACAAATTAAATAAAAAGTCACGTGTTTTGTATCAGAGGAGTCATCTTTTCCAACATAACCAAATGTTGACATTCAACTTGTGACTCAGAATACAAAATTTTCCGTATCAGCACATGCATATCACCTACATACATGTAGTATGCTGGCGACTGAATCGAATAAATGTCGACTTTCTTTATAGCCCCGTCTATCAGGTCTGCTTTTCTACGAAGTTATATTTAAATTGTCGAAATGGAATCACGACAAATTTGCCACAATAAAAGCAAAACAGTATGTGACGTTTTGTACAGTTGCTGCATAACGATTATTGCGTATTGCATCTTATTCCAGGGATTGGTATTTTTGTGTCTCTGACTTTGCTTCTTGAGATTTTGGAGGACAACATGTTTGCGGCGAACAATGTGCCCATCATTGGTATGTTGACCTCAAAGGCCTATGGACATTGAAAACTGCTGGTTGGACCTTCAGTTATGCGAATTATATACAAATTGGAACCATGAATGGAATAACTAAGCTTGTACATTGATGATTTAACTTAAACAATTATTGTTAAGGTTTGAAGTTTAAACAAAATTTGATTACAGCAGTTTAACCTTATTTTCCAATTTTATTTTAGCTTTATATTACGTGGCCACGATGGTATTGACCGCCTTTTCAATTCTGATGTCCACAATTATCCTTAACGTGGTGGATAAGGGTAAAAAAGATCGCTTCATACCCAAAGTGCTAAGAGTTGTAAGTATATGCAAGAATTGAATTCAGTCCCATTTGCCCCCATTTCTATAGGGCAGGCCTAAAGTAGAATCATGCATAAAAAGACCTAAATGCCATTCCTCTTATCATTTATTGACCGCCTTGTCAATTCTGGTGTCTACAATTATTCTCAATGTGGCGGATAAGGGTAAAAAAGATCGGTTCATACCGTAAGTGCTTAAAGTTGTTAATGTGCTATGAAGTCCCATTTATGGCGGACTTTTACGAATGTCGAGTTTCAATTTCAGCGCATCAGTAGAAACGACTTTCTCTTATAAAACCGAAAGGACCGTTGTTAATGCCATTTCTTTTATCATTTATTTCCAGATCTTCCTAAACGTGCTGGGTAGAATCCTTCGTGTTACCCCATCATCGACACGGGATCGCGAGATGGTAACCTTTAACGAGCTTGAAAACCATGGCGACGGTTTAGACGGAAGTGATGTCAAAGATGATCACGTGCACATAACCCATGGCGGGCCTTCCATGAATGAGTGGTTCACTTTGGCTGCCGTTATTGACCGTCTGTTTTTCCTAACATTTCTGGTAGTGGCCATAATATGTAGCATTGCAATGTTTGCCTCTGGATAAGAATATTGCCCAGAACGGTTCCAGAACGGTTGATATGTATTACAGTTAATTAAAGGTACACTCCATGGGTTTGAAAACCCCCAAATTGCTTATCTTTGCCATCCACGGCTTCTTATAAAACTTTACATTCACCTTAAATGATTAAGCCTTTAGATCTATTTTTCTGGGGCGTACCTGATGTTGATATTTCCTATGGAATTAATAGGAAGATGCTCGCTGACTGGCCAGTCATTTTAAGCTAAAACCAATCTTTATTTTTGAAGGATAGATAAGTAATCCGCGCGGCGGGTACAAGAAAATCGCTTATTTTCCAGGGAAAATCCATTTTAGCGGGTAAATCACATGTAGTGGACCTTTAAGTGTCACATAGACGTGTTTTGAGTCTGACTGATACGCAGACTCATTAAAAAAAGAAAAACCATTTGAAGTATTAGTTTTGGCTGATACATGTAGGGCAATACCAGTTGCTACGTATCATATGTGTCAAAAGCTTTTTATGAACCACGTGCAGTGCAGATCATTATGCAATCAACTTTAGCTACGCTATTATACCGAAGCTAGTAAAACTAAGGCGTGTTACAGGTATTAAAGCTGCTAGAGGTAGGCCTACATATTTTCAAGCATTAGGGAATTTCGTGCAGCAATGGACGCCATGGATCGACACACGTCTTCACTTTCAAAGACATAGAATTTAGCACATGGTGGTTTCTGTAAAGCACTTTCATTGTTCAGTTTTATACTTTAATGATTATATTTATAATTGATCACACACCTGCAGCTTCTAAGCAGACTTTATACGCAGTTCTACATATTAAAAATATGGTATTGAATAATATATATATATATATATTTTTTTTTTCTCGAGATAAATTGGCCATCTTCTTATTCAATATTCATCAAAAGATATAGCATATAGTCTTATTATGCAGAGTTTTTTCTTAATGAAAAACTATAGGTATTTCATCAGGAATGTAAATTTCTTCAGTTTTAAACTTCATGTATCCATGCCTTTAATCGTTTTGTACATTTGTCCAAGCTTCTATCGTCGTAACTTTTTTCTTACAGAATATTCGGTTATAAAACAACGGTATTATTACACGATATGTTTATGTTACGGAAAAGGTTATTGTCCTGTTATTGTAAAAATATGTACAGATTGGCAGTTCTTTTGTGAAAACCCCAATCCTTATCCCCAACGAACTTAGTATTTTTGAGATGTGAAATATAATAACGATTTGAATTAGCTAATAATAACATATTAACTATAGTAGTTCCGTCAAAACAACAGCTGAGATAAGTCTTATTCGCTTTCCTATAATAAGTAATCTTCACAAAAGGATACAAGCTGTGTAAATAAGCTTGAACTTAGCAGTTGTGTTGAATAAACTTTTATATGACATGGGTATGTAGGATAGTTATTAGTGAATGGTGCTGCGCATTGCACACCATTGACAACACAGCTAAGAATGCGCAACGCTATCACAGCTTATGAAAATTAATAGATTTTATTTCTTATTTTGAGTAAATAAACTTATTTCACGTCTGTCATAAACAATACAAAGAAAATGAAGTTGAGGTTATTGTTACTGGCATCTTTCTCTCTCACTTTCTCTCTCTCTTTTTCTTTTTTTTTTACTTCACGGTTTTTAGGTTTTTAAAGTAGACTCTTTGGAAGTTTGTTCCTCTTTGGTGCCGAAGTTACTGGAATGACAAAGCAAAAAGCCCCCCCCCCCCCCGAGCGGGACCCTCATGCCAAAAAGTCAAGTGGGTGGGATCCCCCGGGGACCCTGCAGGGAGCCTCTTCCCTCCGCTTGAAGGGTCACTTTCCCTTCCTCTAGAATAGAAAAAAAAACGGTTTAAATCCATCTTTTCCAAGGTATAGGCTTGTTCAGTGTACGACAAAGGTCTTAAAATTGGTATAAGCACATACAAAAAGAAACCGTGGACGTTTAAGTGAATTTTTGCTCGACCAAATATATCTTTTTGTCCCATCACTTCCTTGACAAACCCGAGGGAGTATTGTGCTAGATTAAATTTTCCTTTTCGCGTGGGTGATAACGACTTGAATAAACAATCTGAGTTTACTTGGTAAGCGATTTTGTTTCGGAAACCTATTCAGCATACACAATGAACACAAAAGAAACGCATGTTTTACCCAAACTTAATGAAGCGTGAAGTACAGATAAAATATGTTACATATAACGATGTTTATAAGAAAGAGAAAGTTGAAGCTTAGAATATTTAAGGAAAATTTTTCATTTTAGAATATTAGCATTAAAAACACAAGAGTAAACGTAGTTAGTGACAGCGGTGGTCTACTTGGCACGAAAATTGGGGGTTTGTTTTCATATTATTCATACGGATTTTGTATCACATTAATTGACAATCGTATTGCTCCATTCGCAAGTATTTTAACTGGGAATTCTTCTAAACCAGTGGTGGTATCAATATCGTGAAAAGAGTGGCAATACATGTGCGTATGAACCTGACAACAGCTAAGCTAATTATGGCTGCTTTCTGCCAAACGTATATGATGACAAAGACAAGTAATTCTATCACATGGCCAGAAATGCGCAGCATTCACGCGATACGCGAGGGCGCTACAGTAGGGCTTCACGTGACTCAACTAGCCAATCACAGCACAACAATGGCATCGCACACAGTCTCTGTGATAAGTGCTCAGCCCATTGTCAAGAAGTGTTAGTTCATGGTAACAAGCGTCTGACATGTGCAGAGAAGTTTATTGTAATATATATTGTTCTTATTGTTACATTATTAAATCTAACTCTGTATCCAAGTAGTAACTATACTGTACCAAGTCAGGTACTGATGATGTGCAGAGGTCATATATTCCCGAATAAGCCATTACCACTAATTTATAACTTTAATTTTGTTTAATATGTTATTCATGAAAGAGTTCATGAAATATTATTTTAATTTGTTAAATCGTGATCTTATTCTTTTTATATTCAAATAATTGAATAATGTGGGTAAAATTGGTCTTCCACTTCTGATTTGCATTTTTCCTTTACTACAAGATTATTTTGGAACAGTTGCAGCATTAAAATTTAAAATAAATAGTAACCTAAAAGAAGACTTTTGCATTATTATTAAATGATGATAGCAATTTTGGATTAAGAGATTCTGAGTAGTGATATTGTCAATCAATTTATGTAAAATCTGATAATATGATTGAAAATACTGATTGAATTCTTGGCTTTGCACCGGGCAGTTTCACATTTGTGCCAAGTGCTTTTTTTGGACTCCATTGTACAGTGGTCAAAGTTCTTCAATTGCCATGGAAGTTTTTAATCAGACTCTGTATGGTGCTGCTATCTGCTGGTGCTATCGGCAACGAATTAGTTTGCCTTTGTTTCTGAGTGAATCTACCGTCTAAAATCACTATTTCTGAAAATATGTGCGTTTTGCTGAGGGTAGGCTAGGCAATACACGGCAAACTTCTTAGTACGTGTGTGCAACAGAATTTTTTTAAAAACCCTAGTGATATTTGGTCAGGAGTTGCTTGAAACATAGCACAGCGTTGCTGTCTAACGGCATCAGGCCGTTAGTTTGTCAATTATCACGAATTGCCCACGAATCGCGAACCTATTCATTTTCCTATGGCAATCTAGCAACTCATTAAAAGTGCACGCATGCGCAGTGGGCTAAGCGTGACGTCATGCAGTGCATTTCTGGGGATGCTTTGAAACCATTTCCTGTAACGGACTGAAGTCACCAAAAGGAAAAAATGAGAAAGGAAATTTCATTTTGATAATGACATATAACTCGTTTTTTTTTTTTTTTTTTTTTTTTTTAAGGACGACATGATTTATGGCTTTTAACTTATAAAGAACAAAGACAGATGGTGTTTAGAGTATTCGGCGTAACTTGGATTTTTACATGTCTATAGCGCACTTATCACAATAAATGTACTTGTCCCGGGAAGGTTCTGTTGATTTGATCCCCCTCCCCCTCCATATGACCTAATTTAAGGATCGGATAATCTGAATAATAGCTGTAATAGCTGTTAAGTCCAGGTATTCGGTATTCGGTATTCGGCATTCAGTCTACCTAAGCACATTAATTATTCCACTTAGGTCTACTTCCCACGAAGAAGATGACCATGGTACCGCTGCAGCTAGCAATAGTGTGCCTCCTAGTTAGCACAGGTGAGTACATTTGGTATCGACTTTTTACTCACACGCATGGATATATTGACTTGTTTACTTTTACACAAGTCGTACGCTATTCTCTTGCAGAGCTCAACAATCTCTGCAATAAACTTAACTGAATTTTGCAAAAGGAATGGATAAGCTAAGTCTATGCGACCGCTAGTACAATTAAGTTATAGCTGGATATCACACTGGGAATTCTATATTATACATGCATGGGTTGAGAGGATAACTCAAGTTATAAAGACTAACAGTCTTAAGTACATACAACTACTTGACCGCGGTTTCATATTGAGGGAGAACAGTACAAGAGAGAAATTGAGCATTTTAGGGTGTGGTCGTTTGGGATGTTTCGGACCTGGAGATAATTCTCTATACACTCTCGACGTGTCGATTGAAGTCCTCAACACGTTATAAGCACCTCCATGCTCCGAGATCAGATCACTAGCTGCTTAACGTACTACTGCGTAGTACTAACATACTTTTGCTCATCCTACGTTACGCTTGGTAGCTAAGAGCCTAGACCTGATACAAATACAGTAATAAATCATGGGTATTGTCCATACGCATAGAAAACGATTGGCGTGTACAAAGAGTAGGTTCTATGCACTGAAGAGCAGATGAATGAAATTGACTGACTTGACAGGGGCATAAATAAACCGTTCTTAAAAAATATTCTTCCGGGCCAAGCTAAAGTAATGCAGTCATTATAAATTTACCGAAAGATACAGAAAGCAAATAGCTCATGAGGACAGACATTTTCAGGGCATGTGTGAGTAGCCGCATATCGTATTAGAGGCAGTGGATTTTACACTGTGGCAGTAAATAAAATTATGAAATTTGCAAAGCATTAAAAAACTGAACAACTCTTTTTTGTAAAATTGATAAATTACTTACTTGTGTATTACGAAAAATGGCATGGAGGGTCTTATTCATTCTACTTTAATTTTAACAAATTTTACATTTGATTGCCTCAGAAAGCTTCTCTCCGTGTTCTTTCCTCACTTACGCCAAAGCATCAACGTTTTTCCCTTAATTTGTATTTTCCGATAAATGGTATAATTCTTCTGTTTGAATATTTATCAGACAGTTCCATAACCTTAAAATACTTAGCCTTTTACATACCTGATATTTCGTAAAGACTAAACTTAGGGTGAAGCAAAGAAGCGCTAATTAATACCGTAAAGTATCACACATAATCGTGTCAAAGAATCCCCAAACTTCCCATATATGTGCTAGTATTGAAACTACTTAGTAATTAGGAAATTTAAATAAGTATGAAATCCAAACTGGTGGCATCAGATGAAAAGTTCACCTGAAGAGCACGATATATAGCAACAGTCATCTAATAACGTTGATTTAACCCTTACCTGAGGCTTTTGCAATAATAAATAAATAAATAAATAAATAAATAAATAAATAAAATCCAATCATTTCATTACAAAGAATCATTTTTTCAGATCTCATCGCGAAAGGTTTAAAAACACAGTATGGTATTATGGTATGATATTACTGGTATGGTATTATATGGCATGATAAAGTACATATCCTGTGGATATGCTGTCCTGGGTATTTTTTTCTGATTATCTCCTCACAGGTCCAGCAACAGCATATCATCCGAACGTAACAGAGCAGGAGGTGCTGAAGCATATCTTTGAGGACAAAGCATACGACAAAAATATCCGTTTTCATAACAAAACGGCTACTAATGTTACCATTGGATTAAGTCAGATATCTCTGGACAATGTAGTAAGTGATCTTGATTTTTTTTAATTTTAATTTTATTTTATTTTATTTATTTATTTCCTCTTCGGTTTGTTGAAAGGTTTGTGCATGTTGACCATTTGCCCACAGAAAATGACTACATTCAGCACAGTTGTATATTTTTTTATATTTATATCTTTACCTATTTCTTTTCTACTATAAAATCACACCATTTTGTTAAAAGTAGAAATCAAAACTGTTTATACTTTTTTATTCAGTCATGACGATGATGTGATGTGCTTGCCAACAATTTTTGTATTCATCTTTGCACAAGAAGCCTAAAAAGCAGAAAATTATATATATATATATATATATATATATATATATATATATATATATATATGCAGATATTCTAGAGCGTGCTTTTTCTATAAGGTTTGATGCAGTTTACTGTATGTGTATAGAATTGGAATTCAAATCTAATAAAAAAACTTCCATATCTGTGTCCATATCTGTGATGTACAATATGTGTGTCCACGTGTTTGCATATTTTTTACGATTACAGGATATTGTTGGCGGGAAGATAACTATCCGTGCTTTTCTTAGGCTGGTAAGTCACTTTCGAACAAAAAAAAAAAAAAAAAAAACGCTCAACAACGGTTTCCCTACTTCTGCATCTATCTTTGCCCAATGCAATTCTCAATGAGACCTTTAAAAAAAACATGTCAAGGGCAACTAAATCGGGAATTGTAGTTTCTCTAATATTACCCGCGCCGCGCCTGTAAGACCGATTTCAGGTCTACGCACATCGGACCTCATTTTAATTTAGGATGGGCCATTTCTTTCCTTCGTACATTAAAAACGCCATAAATTCTTTTTAAACATGTAATGATCCGCAATATGACACAGACATTCCGCATCTCTTCAAATTCTACAGAGAATAGTTCCACGTGTAATTAAGGATGTATTGTAATTAATCTGTACTTGTAATTAATGATAAGGGGCGGGATTCTTGCTATAATGAGGCAGGGGCGATTGAGGCCATCTTCTGGGTCTTCTCGATTTTCAAGTTTACATTGATGGGTATCTTATTTTTTCTGTCGGAAGACGGTAAAAAATGGAGAATGGATCAACAAAGATAATTTGGAAGACTGTCAGAAAATAAATCTGGATCCGCCCCTTGAAGGGAATGCTTTGAATTTTCACGAAGTAACACTATCAACAGATGCTTAAATATTCGCACAAATACACCATGCTACGATTACACCATGCAAGCAAATGATTGACGGTTAGGAATTTTATTGATAACTGTTATATGGAAATCTCTGCTGTCATTTTTTGCAGGGGTGGAAAGACGAACGCTTGGCTTGGAATCCTGCTGAAAACCAGGGTCTGTCCAAGATAACGCTAGATAGAGACCAAGTATGGATGCCGGATATTTCTGTGTACAAGTAAGACTTATATAAATTAGATACAGTTTTGATGTTTAAAATCTTATTACTTTTCATTTAAAAAACTTCCTGGATTAATGACTGAAAAATTTGTCTTGTCTCTTTGAATTATTTTTTATTACACCCAGCATACAAAGCATTATGTACATGAAGGGAAGAAGTAAGAAATGTAAATCACCGTCCATTTTGATCAAAACAGATGTAAAAAGGTTCTTTTGGGTATTTTTTAGTTTAGAAATCCGTTAAATAATACTTGCTGTAAACTACGAATATTGTCGATGAAGTCATAAAATGATTCTATATTATTTGTATGTTTAATCTATTTAATTAATTTATCTATCCATTTCGCTGAAATCCGTCCCACAAACGACCTCTTATGTTATTTTTATTCTGATAATTTAAGAATATATGTTTGAGATCGATACTTGAGGGCAGGGGGCGAATTGTTTGACCAAGTACTTTTTAAAAAGGATTGTGTCAATTTTGGAATGTCATCTCGGAATAACATTCTGAACTCCGCGTAACAGACGAAACGAGGGTGGAACTATGTAAATGGATGAGTCAAGAAAACAAATAGGCCCACATTTTTGTCGGTCTTGGTATCGTATTCCGTATTTTCTTTGCTCTCTAAGTGTAATTTAATTCCGCTTTAAAAAATATAATGTAAATAGCGGCTCAACGAATATAAGTCGTTTTCAGCGGGACGAAACCCCAATTTTGCAATCCTGACACAGGAGACAATAAAAAACATTTCAGTGTACTGCAGGTATCATGATTTTTTTCTCTGTCGGTTCATCTGTCACGGCTAGTTACAGCAGATCATTCTGCTGGACCACCTCAACCTTAGACGGGGCACATTGACCGAATTTCCTCATTTCAGTCACGTTGCTGGTGAGTCAGCTGCTGAAGAGGGACCCTCCTTGCCTGTTTTGAAAATATTAGCCTATGCTGATGGAAGTGTCATGTACATTCCCTCTCACTCTTATACTGTATACTGCGACCTGGATCCCAGCAAATCAGCAACCTACTCGAATCGTAATTGCGAAATTAAGTTTGGATCCTGGGCTCACGACGGGTTTCAGGTAGGTTCATGACGGGGTTAAAGCGGGTTCACGACGAGTTTCAGGTAGGTTAATGACCAGGTTAACTTGAGTTCTCGAGGGGTTTCAACTAATACCTCAAGAACCCTAAAGAATGTATGTACCCAAGAAGTAATGGGGCCGTCCTTTAAATATTTTATTTGGAAATATATCGATATAATCATACTATGAGTTACCAGTATTCGATTGCTTTAAAAGCTGAACGTAAGTCTGATATGTGCCGCCTGAAATATTTAGATTTAAGCTGACCTAATTCTTAAAGCTCTGGCCCATTTTCCAAGGTCAGATGGGAAATTATAATTGTGCTGTTAAATGTGCATTGAAGCTCTCGCACAGAATAACAGCAGATGTTCTCTTTTTATCAACAAAGAAACATACGTTTTTGCCCTAAGCAAATATTTATTGCAAATTGCCTTTTATCAATTTCGCGTTGGATGCCTCTACTCGGAATTATCCTTTTGGCATGCTTTAATTGCCTTGCTCGTGGTGCATACACGGTAGGCGACTATGCCTCTCTGGCCTACAATGTAGTTACGTAGATATTTACTGAATTGCAGATCAACGTTCTGGTCAGTCCATATTCCAATTCCATGTCTGATCTAGTGCAGAACAAGGTATGGGAACTTATATCTGTAAAATCAAGGAGAGAAAATAAGGTTTACGAATGCTGCCCTGAGCCCTACCCGAATATCATTTTCAACATTGAATTTCGATTGAGAATGGGTAAGTTGGTACTCTTTGTTTTATTCTTACATGTACTAGATACCAGATGGAGCAGAACTGTCAAACCCAATCGATACCTGAAGGGTTAATATTCTTTGGGCTGATAACCATATTAGTCATATTATTATATTAGTCGATTGGAACTGTTGACCGCGTATATTTGAATTAAACTTTTTTACAACAGTATAATGTACATATTGAGAAAGTGTTTTCTACTCATTAAGCGTTGATCTACACAACTATACTGGTTGAGCTTCATATTCTACCAGATCATAACTTCTTTCTTAAATTTCATTAATGTAATATAAGGAATCCGTTATATTACATTAGTGTACATTCCAGTGCACCTAACAGTTACACTGTATGCATGCCGATTTATACTGGTTAATATATACTAATCGACGATAAAATTATAAAATATTGCTTATATTACATTTCATTTCAGATAAACGTCTGGGTGTAGAAGTTTCAAATGAGCGTAGATTATATCATTACTTGGTGGATGATTACGTTCCTGATGTAATGCCCGTGCCAAAACTAAGAAGGAACACGTCGTACGATTACAATGACCCAATGATTACGGTGGGAATGTATGTAGGAGTCCTTCGAGTTACTGGTGTTGTGAGTATGCATGATTATAAATAAATTAAAAGTAAAAAAGTGAACTATCGGCGACCAATATTAGGTAAATAAACAGAAACTAAACTTTGGCCACTTAGGATAGTCTTTTTTAAAATTAAACACCAAATATCAATTTCTATTCGCAGTTTTCAAACATTCATGATATCAGCCTTTGCTTATATGGATCTTTTTCAATAATAATAATAATAATAATGCGTTCGTGAGTTGTCGTGAGGATGTTCTCTTCGGCGTTTTATCTGCATGTGTATTCTTTATTGTTGCCGATCAATAGTAAATGCTAAGAATAAATTATATTTCAACTTTAATTTGAAGTTACTTTCAATTTGTCTTCGTTTTTTTTTCAATTGAGTATTCGGAACTATTTGTCAGTCTTATGTTTCTTTCTTTTTTGCAGGATTTTAAAACTCACACCATGGTCTCCACTTTCCTCATGCTGAAGGTACCTAAGTTCTGCTCTCAGATAAAAAAAAAACAGAATTAGCAAAAGTTCATTCATTCGATGGAATTAAATATTGCACGGGACAGTTGATAAATGAATCTTTGTAAAGGCTAGATACGTTTTGAATAAACTTAAAACGGGTAGCTTTTTATTCAATGTTTTCATCTATGTTCTGTGCGTAATAAAAATAAAAATTCTCTTTTATTTATATCTGTATTTCCAATCATTTTTAAGCGTTGGGTGGATGAGGAGCTTGCATGGGACCCTGCTCATTTTGGAGGGATTAATAAGACTGAAGTTCCCAGTGAAAGGGTTTGGAAACCAGCATTTATGATTGCCAATAGGTACTTACTTTGATTAAAATATTATTTTTTGAAACATTAAAGTTGTTTAAGTGATTACTTTGAAACTCCGTTGCAGCTTTGACACTATTGCAGTTTTGTTTCAGTTAACATATTTTAATAAAGATAAAGGAAGTGAACGCATTTCGATTGGATTTTTTTTCGTGCTGAGAAGACTTAGAAAATATTTGGTTGCAGAAATTGTTCCAACTCTCCTAATATTGTTAAAATAAAAGGTTTCTGACATCACACTGTGCAAAATGCCCCGAGTTGATATCATCTAACAAATCCAGTTATCACTAAAATAACATTTTATCAATATAAAATTAGTCGTAATTAATCATTTTTTAAAGATTAAAGCATTTTGCTTGTTTTAAAAGGTTCTGCATTACACTCTGCTTTTTCATCATTCTAGAGCTGAAGAATGGTACGACATGAATAACGAAATGCATGTGCAGTCGAATGGCCAGGTCCGATGGGGAATCAGCTACACGATGAGGACATTCTGCACGTTGGACGTGTACCGTTTCCCGTATGATAGTCATACATGTTTTCTTTGGATTATATCCTACAGACAAGACGCTTCAAAGGTAGGCCAGCAATACTAATTTGAACTTTTTAAACTTGACTTTTAGATATACAAACTTTTTTGTCTAAAGAAAAAATGTTAAGATGACCGTCTACTATCATCTTTGTTGTAAATGAGACTTAGGTATTTCATTTATGACCTATATACAGACTCTTAGGGGAGGGTGCTGACTTTTCAAAACAAAGTAAGCTAAGGTGACAAGGAAAATTCTCCGTAACCCACCCCACCGCCTACATACTACGCTTGTGACTAATGTGATTGGACATACATTTGCCTAAGTCCCAATTTTCCATAGCTTCGTCATTGTTCCTTGTGCAAGATGACAATATCTATCTACAGTAAGAACCAAGCTGTAAAAAGCAAAACTACTGTTGCACCTCTCTTTTACATCTGCATTGGCAAGTGTTTCCTATTTCAGAGAAATATTTTTGACGAATATACTTAGTATCTCTTACAAATTCCGAGGACCTCTTACAAAGTCCCAAATTCAAAAATTTCCTAAAATATTCCATTTACATACTACATATTCTGTGAACGTTTAAACGTATTCTTTCATAACTGATTACATGTTCTCTATAGAAAGGGGAGGGGGGCAGATACTCCGGGACAGAATATAGTATGCTTCCATTATAAAACAAGTCAATTTCTAAGCTGAATATGTATTTGTTAACAGCTCGGAATCAAGATATTAGGTGCATGGGGCGGTGGCAAGTCGCAGTTTCTACAGGAAGGCCTAGAATGGAACATAGACAGTGTCGAAGGAACGAAAGAAAATTGGAAACTACTGGGTGATGTGAAATATCCTGCAGCACAGATTGTCGTCAAGATAAGCAGAAGGTCCACTTACTACACGCACGTCTTCACTGCACCCTGTGTGCTTCTCGCTTTCCTGACTCCGGTGGTGTTCCTGCTGCCCACTAGTGCTCCAGAGAAAGTGACTTTGGGTTGGTTAATTTTTGACGGACAAAGAATACCTTGTTAAGTTTTTAGATGTTGCTGAAAATATTTCTGGTGCCATTCTTCTACCAAGCTGTAAACTGAAACTATTCTATTCATAGACCCATAAGTTTTTAAACTGTAACTTTAAAGGTGGGTATGAAGTTGGGCATAAAGTGAAGATTGAACAAATTAAATAAAAAGTCACGTGTGTTGTATCAGAGGAGTCATCTTTTCCAAAATAACCAAATGTAAACATTCATTTTGTGACTCAGAATATAAAATGTTCCGTATCAGCACATCCTTGTCACCATTCTGCATATCAACTGTAGTATGCTGGCAACTGAATCGAATAAATGTCGACTTTCTTCATTGCCCCGTCTATCAGGTCTGCTTTGCTACGAAGTTGTCAGAAATTGTCAAAATGGAATCACGACAAATTTACCACAATTAAAGCAAAACACTATGTGACGTTTTGTACAGTTGCTGCATAGCGATTATTGCGTATTGCATCTCATTCCAGGAATTGGCATTTTTGTGTCTCTCACTTTGCTTCTTGAGATTTTGGAAGACAATATGTTTGCGGCGTCCAGTGTTCCCATTATTGGTATGTTGACCTCAAAGGCCTATGGACATTGAAAACTGTCGATTGGACCTTCATTTATGCGAATTATATACAAATCGGAACCATGAATGAAATAACTATAAGCTTGTACATTGATAATTTAACTTAAACAATTATTCTTAAGGTTTTAAATTTAAACAAAATTTGATTACAGCTGTTTAACCTTATTTTCAAATTTTATTTTAGCTTTATATTACGTGGCCACGATGGTATTGACCGCCTTTTCAATTTTGATGTCCACAATTATTCTCAACGTGGTGGATAAGGGTAAAAAAGATAGGTTCATACCCAAAGTGCTTAGAGTTGTAAGTATATGCTGAATAAGTCCCATTTGCCCCATTTCTATAGGGCTGGCCTAAAGTAGAATCACGCATAAAAAAGACCTAAACGCCATTCCTGCTATCATTCATTGACCGTCTTTTCAATTCTGGTGCCTACAATTATTCTCAACGTGGCGGATAAGGGTAAAAAATCGTTTAATACCCAAAGTGCTCAAAGTTGTAAATATGCTTAGAAGTCCCATTTGTCCCTACTCCCATAGGGCGGACTTTAACGTTAATGGTCTTATTAAGAATGTCGCATATGCTTTAATAAGTAGAAATGACTTTCTCTTATAAGACCGAAAATACCGTTCTTAATGCTATTTCTTTCATCATTCATTCCCAGATCTTTCTTAACGTGCTGGGCAGAATCCTTCGTGTTACCCCATCATCGACACGGGATCGCGAGATGGTAACCTTTAACGAGCTGGAAAACCATGGCGACGGTTTAGACGGAAGTGACGTCAAAGATGATCACGTGCACATAACCCATGGCGGGCCTTCCATGAATGAGTGGTTCACTTTGGCTGCCGTTATTGACCGTCTGTTTTTCCTGACATTTCTGGTAGTGGCCACAATATGTAGCATTGCAATGTTTGCCTCTGGATAAGAATATGGCCCTGAACGGTTCCAGAACGGTTGATATGTATAACGGTTAATTAAAGGTACATCCCATGGATTTGAAAATCCCCCAAATGCTTATTTTTGCCATCCACAGCTTTTTAAAAAACATTACATACCCCTGAAATGATTAAGCCTTTAAATATTATTTTTCTGGAGCGTACCTGATGTTGATATTTCCATTGGAATTAATATGAAGATGGTCGCTGACTGGCCAGTCATTTTAAGTTAAAACCAATCTTTATTTTTGAGGGATAGATAAATAATCCGCGGGTACAGGAAAATCGCTTATTTTTCAGGGAAAATCCATTTTGGCGGGTAAATCATATGTAATGGACCTTTAAGTGTCACATAGACATGATGTTTTGAGTCTGACTGATACGCAGACTCATTAAAAAAAGAAAAACCATTTGAAGTATTAGTTTTGACTTATACATGTCGGGCAATAACAGTTGCTACGTATCATATGTGTCAAAAGCTTTTTATGAACCACGTGCAGTGCAGATCATTATGCAACGCTATTATACCGAGGCTAGTAAAACTAAGGCTTGCTACAGGTGTTACAGCTACTAGAGGTACTAGAGGTAGGCCTACATATTTTCAAGCATTAGGGAATCTCGTGCAGCAATGGACGCCATGGATAGACATACATGTCCTCTCCTTCAAAGACAAAATTTAGTGCATGGTTATTTCTGTAAAGCACTTTTATTTTTCAGTTTTATACTTTTATTATTTTTTTACAATTGCTCACACACCTGCAGCGTCTACGCAGTTCTACATATTAAAAATATGATATTGAATAATATATCTTTTTTCTCGAGATAAATTGGCCATCTTCGTATTCAATATTCATTAAAAGATAAAGCATATGGTCTTATTATGCAGTTTTTTTTTTTTTGTTAACAAACAACTATGTGTATTTCATTAGGAATGTGAACTTATTTAGTTTTTTTAAAACTTCAATTATCCATGCCTTTTATCGTTTTGTACATCTGTCCCAGCTTCTATCGTCGTAACTTTTTTCCTATACAATATTCGGTTATAAAGCAAGGTATTATTACACAATGTTTATTTTACGGAAAAAAAAGTGATTGTCCCATTATTGTAAAAATATGTGCAGATTGACAGTTCTTTTGTGAAAACCCCACTTCTTATCCCCATCATGGCTGCAAACTTAGTATTTTTGAGATGTGAAATATAATTACGATTTGAATTAGATAATAACAACATAATAAGTACAGTAATTCCGTCAAAACAACAGCTGAGATGAGTCTTATTCGCATTCCATTAATAAGTAACCTTCACAAAAGGATAGACGCTGTGTAAATAAGCTTGAACTTAGCAGTTGTGTTGAATAAACTTTTATAGTACGTGTTTAATACAACCAGAAAAATCTTTCGCTGCATTGTATAACATGCTGTTTAAGCTTTGCCATAGAATGTAGGATAGTTTATAGCGAATGGTGCTGCGTATGGAAGACCAACAACATAGCTAAGAATTCGCAACGCTGTCACAGCTTATGGAAATTAGTTCATTTTATTTCTTATTTTGAGTAAATAAACTTTTTTCACGTCTGTCATAAACAATACAAAGAAAATGGAGTTGAGGGTATTGTTACTGGCACCTTTCTCTCTCACTTTCTCTCTCTCCCTCTCTTTATTTATTATTATTATTATTATTTTTTTTTTTTTTTACTTCACCGGTTTCTAAAGTAGACTCTTTGGAAATTTGTTCCTCTTTGGTTCCCCTAAAATAGAAAAACGCGTAAAAACCAGCGGTCTTTTCCAAGGTATAGGTTTAATATGTACGCCAAAGGTCTTAATTGGTATTAGCACATAGAAAAACAAACCGTGGACGTTTTAAATAGTGAATTTTGGCTCGACCAAATATATGTTTTTGTCCCATCACTTCCTTGACAAACCCGAGGGAGTATTGTGCTAGATTAAATTTCCTTTTCCGCGTGGGTGATAGCGACCTGAATAAACAATCTGAGTTTACTTGGTAAGCGAGTTTGTTTCGGAAACCTATTCAGTAACACAATGGACACAAAATGAAACGTATGCATTGCCTATCGCTTCCTTAAAAACGACAAAAATGTTCGCATTTTACCCAAACTTAATGAAGCATTATAAGTACAGATAAAATATATCACATATAATCATGTTTATAAGAAAGAGAAAGCTGAAGCTTAGAATATTTAAGGCAATTTTTTCATTTTAGCATATTAGCATTAAAAACACAAAAGTAAACGTAGTAAGTGACACCGGTGGTCTACTCGACACGAAAATTGGGGGTTTGTTTTCGTATTCTTCATACGGATTTTGTATCACATTAATTGACAATCCCATTGCTCCATTCGCAAGAATTTTTACTGCGGATTCTTCTGAACCAATGGTGGTATCAACATTGTGAAAAGAGTGGCAGTACATGTGCGTATAAAACTGACAATAGCTAAGCTAATTATGTCGTCTTTTTCGCCAAACGTGTGATGACTAAGACATTTTTTCATCTTATAAAAGTAATTTTATAAACTTTGAAACTATGAAGTCATCAAAAAGAAAAAATAGAAAGAAAATTGAATTTTGATAATGACATAATTGCTGACTCTTTCTGCTTTAAGGACGACATGACTTACGTCTTTAAAACTTATAAAGGATATTTTATCATTTCAGAGAATCAGGTTTTTCAATGCATCAATTAAGACTATGGATGATTGTATTTTTATTTTACCTGCTTCTTTTTGACCCCAAATGTCTCCTCGCACACACTGTGGGAGATAACCAAAGCAGAAACGACTGTTTTGTGAGTCTTCTTCCAACGGATAATCTCAAAACGCATCATTACCTGTGGAAAAACTTACATTTGAAACCAGATGACCTCAAGCTCGGAATTGTACACTTCCGAGCACGTGTCATGAGTTACCATAGCAACGACTCAAATGTACATTTCATCAGTGGTTACCAGCATTTCGTATGGATTAGGAACCGTTTCAAAGACGTTCTCAAGTACCCGCCAAACCACTTACTGGCCTCACTGCAAACATTCTACTACAGAATACATTATCTCGACCTAGATGTTGTCTGTAGAGGAAATTGCACTACTGCCAAGTATGTACTTTCACACGACATGGTCCATCGATTTGTTAAACACTATGACAATGGCACTGATACATCTATATGCCATTACACAGACTCTTTGGGGGAAATTTCTCCGTTTATCCACTATCCAAGTATGGGTTATTATATTAAATTGTTCAAGGCTATGGTTAAGCACGAATCGTTTCAATTTCCAATGTATGAATGTTACGACCAAAAGGGCCGAAGCACTGTTTATCTTTGGAGGCATTATCTATATGCATTTATCATGTCACTGGTGTTATGGAATTTTTCACCCTTACTACTGAGATATTTACCAAGCGAAACGGTTAAGGAGGTGGAAAATTGTGATGCAGTCACGACTGACGTGGAAACAATTGATGAAAATCCTCTTGATGTTATCCTTGCCAATAACAATAATTGTGACGACGAAAAGAAGTCAAAAGATCCCCAATTTCCGTCGGAAAAACTATGGATAAGGGCAGATATTGCTCCATATAATTTCCACTCAATACTATGCTATTTCTTATCTTTTCCTGGTCGAATTTTAAGATTGTGTTTCTTGGTTAGTATATGCATCATGGAAAGCCGTCTTCTCTCTGGTCAAGCTTACATTGTTTGGTTCCTTTGGCTCGTGATTGCTCTCACATTTCTCTTACCATTTTCAGTACAACAGTGTGTCGCAAGAAATATTAAGGAAAATTTCCCAGTTACTAACAATATCGTTATAGGCTTTTGGGATATAAAACTCAACAATGTGTTGTTCCACTGCCCTGGCTCTCACGAAAGTACTTTATTTGAAAAAATTGTCCGGATTGTACATTTTCGACTAAAATGTGGTCTCTCATTAAATATATGGACGTCGATTTTCAAATATTGCTTCAGATTCGACAGGGGTTTTGTTAGGTACCAAGCAAGGCACGTATCGCCGAGTCAGTCTTTCCATAATTTTAAAAACTTCATTGTTTCCATACTGTTTCCTAAGTTGGTCTTTTTGCTGTTTCTTCCGAAGGTAATAATAAACACGGTACATTTTATCGCGTTATCCCTCTTTGGACTCCTTCAACTATCTCCAATGGCCATCACTATGTGGATTTTGTTGTCAGCTTCGTTTAAAGAATGCAGGCGGCTGTACGTGCAAAAGACAGTGAAAAGTCGCTGGCGAAAAGTGCGTCAAGTTGTTTGGTTTTTCGGAACATTTTATTTCTTTGTAGGAAATGTAATCGCACTTGTCATGTTGTCTTTCTTCGTGTTGTGTGTGTGTATGTTTTTCACAGACGTATTAACGATGACCCTGGTTGGTTTGATATTACAGGCTAAAGTGAGTATGAAATATGCCACCATGATTGTGGGATTCCCCCTCCTTCTCGTGCACCAGTATTCTACAACCGTTCTCCATTACAAACGTCTCTCACAAGACATCATCGCCACATTAGAGAAATTTCAACTGGAGGAATATCTCCGTTTTGACCAGTATCGTATGGCATATTGCAGACGTGATCTGTTTGAATATATGACTGAAGTGTACCATCCTCTACGAGTTCGAATATTCTGGTCAATTTTAAAAGTACTGAGCTGTTTGGCGCTCTGGGGTCTCGCGCTTCGGACAATCAATGTTTTCTCACTGTACGCAGATACGGCCACGTTCACCATAGCTGTGACAGTGGTAGAAGTAATAGCACTTAAAGTTATGAACAAAACCCTCTCATTGTTTGGGAGAACATATGAAAACAACGCTGACTTGAACATAAGGTTATCTTTGATGTACCAAGAGGTGCAGGATTATGAACGAATTATGAAGTATTTGGATTTTTGATGAAAAGTATATTTCAAAGTCATTACGCCTGCTATAAACGAACTACAATCATCAGGACTGTTCTTAAAAAGTACAATTTTGCTACTTACAAACGGAATGTTTCTTTTATGAATGCTATCATAGCTTTAAAATTTTTTTAAATCTTTTTTCATTTAAATAATACTTTGTTTAATTTACATGTCTCATTGAGCTTTAAAAATATTACTTTTACATGCATATTAATTTTTAATTCATCTTTATACTTATAGATTTTATATGTAAACAGCCCTGAGACGAATATGCAGCGCGGTATAAAGAAAAAATATATTATTGTTATTATAATAATTATTAAACCTGTAAATAAAAACGTACTTTTTTAT